ACAGAGCACGAGGAGGCGGAGGCGGCGGAGAAGTGATGCTGGCACCGGGGATCCGGGCAGCGGCAGCGGAGCAGCAGCATCTCCGGGACCTCGGCTGCAGCGTCCCTGTGGCCCGCGGGCCAGCCAAGCGGCGGGAGACCTCGCGCCCCTCGGGTAAGATCCGGCCCGGCGGCGCCCGCGCGCCCCCGGGACCGCCGGTGTTGTCTTTGGGGCTTGCGAGGCTCGTGGTGCCCGGGGCATCCTGGCAAGGGTGTTTGGGACCCGGACAGCGAGTCCGGACGCACGGCTAGGCTGAAGCCCGCGCCGGTGCCACTCCTGTTCGTGCGTTCTCCCCTCGGCGCGGACACACTTTGATAGCGCGGGGATGGCATTGTGTGTGTCCATGCGTGTGTGGGCGCGCGCCTTGGGGCACTTGGCAGGGAGCGCGGTGGGTGTCCGCTGACGTGAACCCGCGTCCTTCAGGGAATGAGGCTGGGATGGAGTGAATAGGTTTGCCTCCCCGCTCAGCGGGAGGGAGAGCACGCGGAACGCACGGGGAAGTCCACGATGGCTCGCAAAGAGCCGGGCAAATTGAACTTTACTGCCTGAATGAAAAGAGGGAGCTGTGTTCCGGCGCGCCAGGGGACAGGCGCATTCACCGAGGCTCCCCAAAGTCCCACTTTGCGCCGGGGACTTCAAAAGGGACCGGAGGGGAGGGGAAAGTAACCCTGAGTCCGCCTCGCTCAAGAAAAGGACCAAAGAAAAGGAGGGATGCAACTAGGCTTGGGGAGTGGCGGCTTTTTGTCTGGCGCTCCTTCTGGGAAGCTCGCTACACTTTTCGGGAGCGCAGATTTGGGGGTGGAGAGAGTCCTGCTTTGAGGGGCGGTCAGAGGCTGCTTCTGGCCGGCGCCGGCTTGGGGCACGGGTGTCCGCGACCCCGCTGGGCCGCCGGAGCGGGGCGGGGCTCGAATGCGCGTCCAGGTGGAGCCATTGCCTCCCGGGGCTGCCTTGGCCCGGCTACCTTCCGGGGTCGGGACCCGGCGGCCTGCAGCACCCGGGGCAGCTGCGGACTGCGGGCGGCTCGGTTCTCCGAGAAAGTTCCGGCCGGCTGCGATCTGGGCAACCCGACCTAGAGCACGTTGACCACGAAGTGTAACTAGGTTTACGTACCCAGCTTCCTCCAGTGCCGACGCTGCTTTTGTTTTATATTAAATTATTTTTATTTATTTTTTGTAAAGCTAGTGGGAGTTGGACCCTCGCTGCGAACCTTTCTGTAAAAGGCGGATTTTATGCGCCGCTGTAAATGTTTGGTGCTGCTGGGCTAAGTCCGAAACTCCGTAGCTCGGTGTAGTGGTTTCTCCATCCCTCTTCAGGACGCACAAACTTAGTCTTGGCGATTGTTTTGTATGTGGCCTGTGTCTCGGTAGGAGTCTCTGCTAGGGAAACTTCCTGAAATATCTCGGCACTAAGGAACTGTCCCCATGCTGACGCAGATGGAGAGAGGCTGTGGTCCTTTACAGAGGCGATGGGGTTGCAGCGGGAGATGGAAGTGGAGAGGGCAGCTCCCAGCTTGCCAGCTAGAATCTTTGGAAACATAAATTGGCTCAATACAGGGAGCCGGATCTTGAACTGAGAACAGCACTTTCCCTGTTATGTAGCTCCTTAATCTCTTTCACTGGCAGAATCTGTCGCCCCCAAACACAACACAACAACACAACAAAAATAAAACCCCAACCCAAACAGCAGAAACCACTTTGGTCGGCTCATTTCTGATTTGGTAAAGCAGAGAAAACTAAAGTAAGATACCTAATTAGAAATACTGTACACAAATCAGGAGGGAGCTGTCCAAAATGTCAGCACTCTTCACGTTTTTAATTGTGAAGATTCCATTTTCATCCAATTTCGTAATGTAAATTATTGTGTAGAGGGTGAATCACTTACTGGTGAACTAACCGTGATGTTAGTTTTGTGTCCGAAGATGGTTCCACATTTTTCATCACTTAATTCCTGAACTGCAAATGGAATTTTTAATACCTGTAGTTGAACACACTTATACATTACATTTGGGTTAGTAGGAAATTGGTAGTAAATATTTTCTCCTTAGTAGTCATCACATGTGGTTTAAAAGACGAGTTTTCTGATATAATTCAAGAGTGTATAGCTTGTGGTTTTGTGTTTCAACACAAATCTACCTGCTGCCAGGTGATTATTTCAAAGTTGCAATATTTTAGTTGTTGTAACTCTCAGGACTTTATTAAGATTCTTCAGCACATTAAGGAGTTGGTTTTAGCTTTGTGTTTCATTTATGCAATGCTATGAGGTGGTAGAACTGTTTTCCCCTGTGGGTTGATATGGGGGAGAGAGGATTAAAATGCATTATGAATTATTAATAATTTTAAAATAAGATAAATCAAAGCCAAGTTACCAGTAATAAAAGTAGAACTTTTAAGGGAAATTTTAACTACTTAGCTGAGAAGATGGTTTTTCACATTGCTGTCAAGTAACATCTTGTAAATTCACTGCATTATGTATTGGGGTAAGCCACAAGTCTTTAAACAGAAACAGAGCTTTTGTACTCATTTTTAAGGAGTGCATGTGTGTTTTTAACCAGGGGCACTTTTATTTGGGGACATTCCCCCCCAAATAATTAAGTACATTTTTTAAACCATGAGGGGAAAATGTAATCCAATGCCGAGAAATGTATCAAAGGACATAAATATTAGAATGAAGCAGTAGGGTCTGTGTTTGACTGAAAGCAGAAATGATGTGAGATGCTTGTGTGGTGGGGGAGAGGCTTACAGGAGGTAATAGTGCTGGCCACTTAGTTTATACAAGCGATTCAGGTTCTGCCACTTCTGCAAATTCACTTCGGTTTTGACTTGTTTTGCTGCAGGGCAGCCCATGAGCTCAGACTGCCATCTTTTTCACACGGATTTTAGTAACTTAGGTAAATGTCAACTTGTCAAGACTCTAGGCCAGTAAATTCACTTTTTGACCTATGCCAGATTTTAATTTCAACACTGCATAACTTTTCTAAAAAGATCCCATTTACTATACATAGCAATGCAAAAACACCATGATCTTATTAAATAAACATATTTGATTTGTCCAAAAGAGTCATGATTAGAGTTTCTACATTGTTAGGTAAGATAGTGAGGTTTATTTAATTTTATTAATAATAATTTGTTTTCATTTCAGTAATGAAATTACTGTTTTCTATTGAAAACTAACATATTTAGGGGAATTAAATACCTCAGCCAATTAGTTTATCAGAAATTCATTGCATTATCTCTCTCTCTCTCTCTCTCCCCCCCCACCTCTCTCTCTCTCTCTCTCTCTCTCTCTCTCTCACACACACACACTCACACACACACACACGCACATACACATATACTGGAACCACTCTCAGGAGGAATGTAACCACCTTGCATTAGAAACAAATTAACCAACTGAACCTGAATGATGAAAAAGGTACTTTATAAGACAAAAGTTCATCCTAATTATGATACTGTTTTATTCACTTAAAACTTAACAAATTGTACTGTGTTCCTACTAGGTGCAAGACACTGTTCTAGTTGCTTTGACTATGTTAGAAAATAAATCAGACAAAGACCCTTGCCTTCATGAAGCTTGTATTTTACTGGAGTGAAATAGATCATAAACAAAAAATATAATAAGTAAAAAAGCTTGAGGAATATTTCTCTCTCCTCCTGATCTATTTTTTTCTAAATCTCCACCCCATGGTCCAGTCTCTTCACATCTTATTTTCTTTCCAATTAATACACACCTACCCCCACACCTACACAAATATACTCGAATTAATCTAAGAACTGGAAAGTAATAGTGGTGATAATCTAATACATGTTACTCCTGAGTTGATAGATCCGAACAATAACAGCACTATATGAGGAAGGTTAAAAGTAAGAGAGGGGTTCAAAGATGGTTAAGTAATGAACTGACAGAATTATCTGTCCTTTAAAAATTCTTTAAAATCAAATTATATTTTTCAGAGGAACTAAAATGGGAAACATTCTTTAACAAATTTATTTCAAATTAACAACATCTTAAAAGACATTTGTAAGTACCCAAGATCAAATCTACATAACCTCATTTAAAGGAGATGAATGAATTAGAAGTAGTAAGGAAAGATCCCAAAGCATAATTTTAATGCGAAAACTTCTTCCAAATTGAGAGTGACATATTCATGTACCTCTGTGAAAGTTGATCAAAAATCCTAGCATCTGAGGTCAAAGTTTCCCTAATGTATTTGCATCAGAAAAAAGACTCATAATCTGATTCTCCAATAAGAAATGGCAAAATACTTCAAAAATTTCAAAATAAGGTTGTCTTTAATTCAAAATCAATGTGGTTATCCAATCAGTCCAATTATAGATGAAACTTTGTGATATTTTCCCAAGTTCTATTATGCATAAAACAGTGTGCAGCTATAATTCAAATTTCACTTTTTGTGCTTTCCATGTAGTTATTTTCTTTAGAGCCTTGAGCTTACATCTCCAAAGACTTGTTATTTTTGTTTTGACCCTCATATATAGAAAGTCAAGAATCTAGCTTGACTTTCAAAAATTGGTTCATGAACAATTTTTTCATATTGGAGAAAGGCTGAAATTGTATGCCCAAGAAACCATACTATATACTGAACTAATGCCAACTTAGTCACAAGTTCTATTATGACAAGATATTAGCGCTGACACAGTACTAACAGTCATTTCTGAGTGGATTTTCATCATTTAAGAAAAATCTTCAAGATTGCTGTTAACAATCGAATTTTAGGAGATGGGAAAAAGTCTCCTGATAATACTATCTCAACATTTTATTTATCTAGATTTAAGAACGTATATATTACCAGCCTACACCTTTGCCTTTTTTGCCTGGTTTTGTTCTGTTCTGCCCCAAATGCAAAACTCATTTTAAAAAGGCAAGGAAACCGGGGCGCCTGGGTGGCGCAGTCGGTTAAGCGTCCGACTTCAGCCAGGTCACGATCTCGCGGTCCGTGAGTTCGAGCCCCGCGTCGGGCTCTGGGCTGATGGCTCAGAGCCTGGAGCCGGTTTCTGATTCTGTGTCTCCCTCTCTCTCTGCCCCTCCCCCATTCATGCTCTGTCTCTCTCTGTCCCAAAAATAAATAAATGTTGAAAAAAAAATTTTAAAAAGGCAAG